TGTTCCGATTCAATAATTCAAAGTTTGTGGGTTAGCGATAACTGTTCTTTTGTAAGCAATTTCTAAACCTATAATCGGACCTTATGATATCCCATTGGACGTACACGCACTGGGAACTTGGGGATTTAAATATTTTTCTTTTGTGAATTTCCGTTTCGAAGTACGTTATATTAATTATGGGTTCGTATCTCGAAATAGGTGCTCTGGTCGATCATACGCAGCAGGCAAGACCCTCTTAGGGCCGGGTAGCTTGGGATTACCTGTGAGTGGACTTTGTTTTCAAGCATACGCATGGTTTTATTGATAAAGGATTTATGCATATGTTTTAAATGGTAATTGTGATATAATATGTATTTGGCTATTGAATTTGATGTTCGTATAGCGCTTTGGCAATATATCGTCGGTTTGACATAGTTGAGTATTGAGAGTATGTTTGTATGGATTTTGGGGAATACTATCTATATTGTATATATGGTCTTGGTGTGGGATATGTGAGTTGTTGATGTGAGATTGTGGAAAGATATGAGTTCGAGGAATGGTTGAGAGATATATGAGTATGCTAGGTGAGTACCATCCCCTGGTTACTAGGCTTCCCACACGTGTCGTTGGCAGTGCCGGCGTGTGGGAAGAACATGAGATTGTGGGTCTTACACGCGTCGTTGGCAGTGCCGGTGTGTAAGACACTTCCCATACGTGTCGTTGGCAGTGCCGGCATATAGGAAGAGTATGTATATTGCTTGATTCATCACACATGTCATTGGCAGTGCCGGTGTGTGATGATGTCGTCTGCACGCGTAGGACTTGATATTGGATATGTGAGCTGCACGTGTCGTTGGCAGTGCCGGTGTGTGAGCTATGGAGTTCCGTCCCCCGGTTGGACTACTCATCCCTGGACGCGGGTTAGCACCTGGAAATCCTGCATACTAGCCAAACAATCGCCCGATTGGATTGTTTTCCCCGGTACATTAGTATGGAGAGAAGTATATGTTACATTTATATTTATGTATATATATATATATATATACAGTCCCCTTCTATTGAGGGATCCCTCAAATAATTTTATTTGAGGGACGCCTTTTAGGGTACCCTACAATTTTTTTTCCAATGATCCAAACCATCTATTTTTTAGGTATTCATTCATAGATCATCTTTACAAAAAATTAGACAAATTGGAAACCGTTTCGACATCCAATTGTGTCCTACAAAATCAATGAACACGACGCTTCAAGAAAGTACTAAAATTTCAATGACTCAATTGAATGGTCAAATGATATCGGATTCAAGTGATTTTTTGTAGAGATGATCTTTGAATGAGTATCTACAAAATAGACGGTATGGATTAGTGAAATACAATCTGGAGTGGGCCATACAAGGGGTGTCCCTCAAATAAGTTTATTTGAGGGATCCCTCAATGGAAGCTCTCTGTATATATATATATATATATATATACATAAGTGCTGCATAATTTTGGGAATGGAGTTGTGATTTGAGAGTTTGGGTTTAATGGATTTTTGAGAATATTGTTTTTGAGTATTTGGTTTATGAATTGTGAATCTGGATGCTTGAGCATTATTTTTACGCGATGGGGTCATTATGTTGTTTTTAAATGCAAACTTTGTTTTTGTCCACTCACATATTTCTGTTTTGCGCCCCCCCAGGCAGTAGTTGCTCTTGGAAGCTTTCAAGCAGTGTTCAAGATCAAATCGTTCCATCCGTAGATAGGACTTGTGTAAATTCCTTCTACTCAACTGGTTGTTGTAAACTAATTCTGTTATATACTCTGTTATTGCCCATGTTAGGTTGTTACTTGAGGCCGGATGCCACTTTAGTTTGGATTGTTGTATGTTGAAAGCATGCTGGCAATTGGATTTATATTATGTAAATTATGCAGGTTGAATGTTGTTGGGTTTCTGCATTTTACAGGGGAGACTCTGCCAAAATTTTGGTAGGATGTCTCGGGTTTTAGTAAGTGGGCCCGGCATCGGGGTGATGTCGGCATAAAGACGGGATTCGCCTCGGCTTCGAGGGAATTCCGGGGCGGGTCCTGTCAAATGATTACACTGTAAGTACCACCATGCGATTGTGAGGTCCTAAGTGTCGTAGGTTATCCGGCGTGTGGACAGGCCCCATACGTGGCTTTGGATGTTCCGACATATGGGGAGATATGTGATATGCTTGTGAGGTTGCACGTGTCGTAGGAGTAGCCGGCGTGTTGACAAACCCCATACGTGGCGTTGGTATATCTGGCGTATGGGGAGATATGTGATATTGTGTTGAGGTCGCACGTGTCGTAGTAACCGGCGTGTTGACAGACCCCATATGTGGTGTTGGTATATCCGGCATATGGGGAGATATGTGATATTGTGTTGAGGTCGCACGTGTCGTAGGAGTGGCCGGCGTGGTGACAGACCCCATACGTGGCGTTGGTAGATCTGGCGTATGGGGAAATATGTGTGATTGTGATTGGTGAGTTTTGATATAATGTAAAGGGTTTTAGTGAAAGAACTACGTGTGGCTTGATCCCCTAGTAAGGGTACGTAGGCAGCCTAGGATAGCGCCTAGGTGCAGCCGCGGGCTAAACTTGGGCCCTGTCGTTGGTCCTGAAACTTGTTTGGAAACGGGGCTTGATTGATTAGATTCTTATTATTTCGTTGGACTGAGGGAATGTTGTTAATTTGTGGATTTCGATTTTGTTAGGAGGTTAAAACCTCGCATATCGGGTATTTGGGGAAGTTATCTTAGGTTGAATGCAGTAGGCGTGCGTAAATAAATTTGAGTTTGATATATGCACTAATTTGATTTAAGAACATTGTTGGCGGTTCTGTTTCGAATCATTTGAAGGCCGGAGGCCATTTATGTGAATTGCATGAATTTATATTGTGTGTGCTGCCTGTTGGGATATTAAAATGTGAATTTTGTGCATGTTGAAATTTGGGGAATGTTCAATTTATAGGGGGGATTCTGCCGAATTTTCAGTAGAAAGTCTCGTATCCTTATCCCTTTTGGGAAAAGAGGATATAGTTTTCAGAAGTGGGCCCGACATCGAGGTGATGTCGAGAATTCCATAGGGTTTGTCTCGGGTTCCGGGAAATTCGGGGCGGGTCCTGTCATAAAGACCGCATATTATACCAATTATTCACACAAGCACCCACGTGAAATTATGTACCTAACGTAAAGGTAAATAGTGTTATTATTAGCAATGGAAAAAACTTAGTGATATATCGTGTTACCTATAAGTCAGGAACATAAATTAAAATACTACCTATAGTTAGGAACATAAATTAGAAGACCACCTATAAGTTAGATAATAAAAAAATAGACAAATAAAAATTGTATGTTACCTATAAAAAAGAAAAAAGAAAAAAAAAGGTACATAAAATACTATTATTCATTGTCTAAAATATGAAAAACACATATATACCTATGCAATAGGCAATAGAACAATATACCTACACCATAGGTTAATATATCTATAAGAGTACGTAATATACCTCTACCATAGGGACAAATGAATTTCAAGAGACTTTTGGTATCTGACATCAAAATTGAAGTCAAAATGTTCCCCAAGAAAAGTTGCCAACAAGTATCACCAGTATTAGTACCATTTGAGGAATATTCTGACATGATTCTCTGCTTGCTATGGAACTATATTGTAGGCTTATTTTTTCAAATTTTCTTTTGTCCTTTCACTAGTGGCAGTTTTTCATAGAGGCTGCTGATGTGAAGAAGAAGTGGGAGAACAGATCTTGGGGTAGGAAACTGATACAATGAGGAAAGAGAGGTTTTTATTTAAATGCTCTCTGGGATATGTTTGCAATACTTTCCTTCTCTATTCAATGACAAAGTCATAAATGGCTAATTATTATCACATAAATTACTATTACTCTATTCAAGGTATAATGGGCAACATTGGAACAAAAAATGATTTTAAAAAATAAAAATAAAAAGATTACATCATAATATATTAAAAAATGAATGTAATCCTATGTGGCGCAAGAGTCAAAGGACTTGTATCAAAGTCGCCAAATCCGAGGTTTAAACCCAACTTCTCAATGAAAATTTGAATCTATATATAAACTTTTCTATTAAAATTATAAAGCGTTTGTTGTTTCAATGTTGATTGTGCTTAGTTCTGAATGAATATCAAGGTTGCATCTGCCAAAAGTGAAGCAAGAGGGGCTTCTCATCAAAGTATACGGATGGGAAGCCCATCTTGCTAACTTCACCTGCAATGCAAACCATGACCTACGCTGCCTTTCTTCCTCTCCAAAGTGGAACAAGAAAGCTATCGAAATATATAGTAATGTTTTTGGTCAGATTTTATCCGCAACACTTAGATTTTTGGGCTCTTGTGCAAGATCCAAAAGTTGATATACATATACAGAAAACTTGAGACAAAATTTTCACTAGTTTTGTGTGAAAATACATAATAGATTGCATATGTAGCAGTTCCAGAAATCCAACAAATCTTTCACCGGTTGCACGTGATAATAGAGAGAACACACACATCAGTTACAAAAATTAAAATCTAATCAAAATAACTTATGACACTATTCTGATTAAACTACATATGCTGGATGAATCTCTACTAAGAACTACAAATGAAGCTTAAATTAGATTATGTTCAAGCGACTTCATGGTTCCAATGATTGAGAAAACCAGGACAAAAGTCCAAGTATAGTTGAGCTGCCTGTCCAAAGATCCTTGAAGTAAACTCCTTTCAGGATTGCCACATGACGGTTCCAAAAACTGATCCCATAGTGCTTATTAAGCTGCCCACAGACACCATCATAGCAGGATACATCATCCATAATCTGCACACAGAGTTTATTGATCAGGTTTGCCACGGTTTCGTTGCAGCCTATCTTGTTAACAAGAATTCCACTCTCAATCAGCAAATTCACATCTTCCACAGTGTCCACAAATTTATCCATGAACAAAAAATATTCGCAAATATAAGCAGAGTCTGGATACAGAAACTGCTCCAACGCCATGACATTTCAGACGATGCATTCTGTCTTATCCTTGACACAGAATAGTGTAAGCTTCAAGTCCATACTTGTAAAACATGCTAAGTTGAAATTACAATCGTGGGATTCATCTCCTTTAATGACAAACCCTACTTCTTTAAGTAGCCTAAAGTTCACCCCTGCGGCCTTCAACTTCCTCGCGTCATATATATTTTTTATAGGAGTATCTACCGAAGTAATTTCTTCTGCAGGGCACAAAAAATGTCTTACCAAATCAGTGAAATGTTTTATAGTTACTCCATTCCTGACAGATTTTCCTTCACTGTAACTGTTGAAGAAATCACAGGTAAGCTTGAGAAAGGGATGAACAGATTTGGCGGCTTCAACAGTTAACACAGAATGATCGTGGGGGTGGCTTCTACGACAGCAAGGCAAGCAGTAACATATTTTATCAAGATCAAAACATCTCTGTTGTCTATTGCCCTGTTCTTGTGCTTGCACTTCGTTGCGGGGATAGAAACAAGAGACCGGCATAGCAAAGTTGTACAGGTCTTGAAGAAGAAAATAAGGAAGCTGATTTTCTAACAGTATGAGGTCCTGCTCTACAGCTTTCCTCAGCCACCGTGATCTTAAAATGTAATAATCATTTTCAGGGTTTTCAGAATCCATCATAAAGAGCTGAATGATGAAGAGGGCATCAACTAGAATTACCTCCGAGAAGTCGAAATTGTCACCCTGATTAATTGTCCCTGCATAACAACTAAGAATCTTTCCTTGACGATCTCTGATGAAACTTTTTAGTTCCTCCTTACTCTTTAAAGTACCTGTGAAAAAATTCTCACAATATATTCTTTTATTGTTCTCCATGTCCTTGAGTTCTGGTTTGCCATGGTGGAAAGGGCCTATTGAAATTAATTGAGGAGTGTATGCTGCTTCATTTACTTTACGGAGTTTATTGGGAACCCTGTAGATACACCTCTTGTCAGGCTGGTAGAAAAATGGTACCGCGTCGGCCCATTCTGGTTCATTCTCTGCTCTCTGATCCTCCATATATGAAGTCGATCGTCTTTTTGCTAGTGACAATGAAACTAAAATTATTACTACATAGGAAGTGACAGTCTGCTTCACCAGCAAAATTCCAGTATTCAAGAATGTCATCATTCATTCAAATGTTCTAGAATTTTGTCATTAGTACCACATCCGGATGCATTAATTAGAATCTAAAACTAACTTAGGATTCTAGTACTGCGAGTTTAAAATGTCAATAGACAAGTTCCTAGCTAGTTCATAAATTTTCAATGTGTTTTGCTTGCATTTCAAAGGTAAATTCATCAGATTGGAGGGCCATCTATACGTCTTCAACTCGTTGGATCTTGGAGCTCCATTGAATTTTTTTATTCTCATCTCCTAAGTACCTCTTAGCACAAATATATTTTCGGTTATATAAACTGAAATCCTTATAGAAAGCAAATTAAGCAATCTTCAGTATAGCCAATTCTGCAGTAGAAACTAAATGTAGCAGAATGAGTGGAGCAAAAAGAACCTGCAAGTTTACTCGGGGAAATGCAATGGCATCTCTGGCGGTGGTTGAGGTTTCTTGAGCTACCACATGTGGTGTCTGCTTGGCCTGTTTCTAGCTAGCGAGAGCTAGGCTTGTCATTGGCCCAATATTGAAAACAAAAAATTAGGGTTCACAAAAGGAACCAGATCCAAAAATTGGATCCGTTGACAGTCGAGATGTGGAAAAGTGACGCGTTTAAACTAAAGTACTTAAACCAAATCCTGGTTCGCTTGATGATCAAACGGGGATAAGCTAAACGTAAACCAAGACCAGATGCTATTTGACTAATAAGTAAATGATGTGTGTCATGGGTAACATCATCATCAGACACATCTTTTTCCTGTCCTGCATTCAGTCAGAATTTTAGTGTTTCTTTTTACTTCGGGAAGGGGAAGGGAGTGCAAGAGTTGACCTCTCTCGACTTATATCTTACCACACTGCTTGGTATTAAAATGTGGTAAGACATAAGTCATAAACTTACTTGAGTGTAATTGGGTGTATTCGTTCTGATCTCACAACACAATTCTGTGATTTCTACATGAACACATATTGTTAGTAGAGGATCGTATACTCTTTGCACTTAATTAGTGTATAGTTACAAAAAGATGCCATGATAGGAGCTAAATGAGTTTCAACAGATGCAGGTAAGGTGACCCAACAGGGCTTTGAGCATTTTCTGTAGTACCAGCAGTTTTCATGGCAACAACCATTATATATCAAGATTGGACATGCGTGGGAAATAATAAAAAAAACGTCATAGAGCATTCAAGTTTTAAATTGAATATACATTGCGGTGGAAAAAAGGTAGGGAAAATGAATATCCATTATTTGTTGCTACGCTTTTCACAAGTATTTATATCCAGTCTTAGCTATCCATAATTGACTGTCTAAGATGCAAAGGGCTTGTAGCTCAATTGGTTAAGAATATTTACTTCTGCACATGAGGTCTTAGGTTCGACTCTCCCTCCCTAATATGACTTTGTATCAAAAAATAATAATAATAATTGACTGTCTAAGATATTGTGATTTACAATGGAACTTGATAATCTCTTTGAACTTGATTTCTTTTTTAGGCTCAGTCGCTTAATCCATTTTGGGTACTCAAATGAATGCATGGGTTGCTTTATATAAACTCCTCCTTGAAGTAATGTGATGAAGCAATGGCTGATCTTGCTCTTGCGCTTCATCTGTAAAAAAGAATTAAGTAAATTTATTTCATCTTGGCAATTATTTTTAAGGAAATTTGTCAACGCACTTAACAGTTATTTCATCTTGGCAATTAACTGGATTCTTCACCTAGTGTACTTCGCATGTCATCAAATATCATATCCGAAATCACTTACACAATCTCACTTAAATCAATGTACACTGTACTAGAATTCCAGGTCCAAAGTAATCCTCAACCTTCAATGAGCTGCCTGGTGACCACCATTCTCCCAAACCACACTTGGAAACAAGAGATTAAAGCTTAATCAGTCACTAACTCAGGAAGAGGAAATTTTTGAAACTTAACCAAATCCAAGAATGGTTTACCTTATCTTGTAGAGCTCGATCATACGATCCTAAAGGCGAAAAACAGCGCAAGAATTGGAGTTGTAGAATGAAAATTATGGTAGAAAGAAGTTTTTGACGGAGAAGGAAGAGTGGGTTTCTGGAAAGAGAATCGTTCTCACGTTTCCAGCTGAAAACCATCCAACTACACGGGGAAAGAAGAGATCAAAAATTCAGCCGAATTTCTAAAAATTCTTTGAAAAATACTATGAACTCTTAAACACATGCACTTTCCTTTAATCACATCCAAAATATTTTCTCCAAAATTCTACAAATAGTTTTTAAGCACCATAAAATTTCCGAGGTCTCACAAACATGATCTTATTTGGCATTTAAGCTAAATCTAATAATGAATCAAGAGCAAATTAACAAGGGAGTTTCACTAAAACACCCAAAATGGAGGTTGAAATTATAAAAAAAACCCAACACCCAAAACACTTTATAAACACACCAAAACCCATCATTACACACACTCAAAACCCATTTATAAACACACCCAAAAAGTTGACTTTGGGGTTGATTTTGGGTGTGTTTCTATGTTTAAATAGTACTTGGGTGTTTTTATAAATACATGTCTAGAATTGGGTTTATTTATAAATTGCTAAATTAACAATAACTGAGAAAAAAGAAGAAGCAAGTAACAAGCAAATAAATGTACCTTGCATGCCCATTAAGAGGATGTTAAAGCCCCTTATTACAAGAGCAATTTCTCTTGCATCAAATTCTCCCATGCCACTCATTTCTACAATGGAATTTTCTTTTACTAATTTTACTTGTGTCTCAATTTTTATTTTCCCTTTCTTTCTCCATCTCCTTCCACTAAAACCTGAAAGGATAACCATTACAAAGGAAGAACCTATATGCATGAGCATATTTATGTTTTGTACTAGGAAAGAAATTTGGGGAGGCACTTATATATAAATTTGGGCGATAAAGCCGATGATGGGATTAAATAAGTTTGTTTAGCTACAGACAAGTCATTCACATGTTAAGTTTGTTTAGCTACAGACAAATCGTTCGCATGTTTTGTTTGTTTAGCTACAGACAAATCGTTCGCATGTTTCATTTGAATTTACAAAGACACATATAGCTGTTACGAAACTAATAAAAAGACAATTGAAACAACTTATTAATTTTCATGTCATTTCACGTGATGGAATATTCTAGATTTGATTTTTAACATGCACTTCCCTGTGCATCAAGAGACTTTCAAATAAGTTTAGCTAGATAAAGAATTTTTATAAAATACCTATAAGTCCATTGTTTTAACGAGATTAATTTAGGCCACAAACCGATGATTATATTGAAGTTTGTCAAACTAAAAACAAATCCTTAACTAATTTTGCATGAATACACAAAGAAAATGCATGTCTACAATTTTTTTTTAACGCTAACTGAACACTATACATCACGCTCTTAATATCTTTAAGATTTCATGTCATAGAATGTTCTGCATGAAACTTTTTTTAAAGAAGAAATCTTACAAATTGATTACAAAATTCATGCGTCGGGTGTTAGGCGGCCAGAATTTTGTTCCTGATGACTCGCTAGTGGAACAATGGTAAGGGAAAATCTAAGAAGATAAGCAAAATGTCATATAAATTGGAAGTTTTGTTTCAGAGACTAAAAATACACGACTCCATCTCACCCATTAGTGTTGTCATTATTGTTAAATGATTTCCATTCAAAATAATAATTGTAAAATAATGAATTTTTGAATATGATTAAACAAAGGTCATTTGAATGTTCCTAAACATTCCAAAGAAAAATTATTGTAATCATATTGGTGTGCGATTTAATTTCCTCATTTGCTATAGGGAATTGTTGGCGCATGAGTTGACGTTTCCGTATTGATTAATTGTAAAATTTGTTTCATTTTCTATTTATGATTTCCTACTGTAAATAGAATTAGGAGTTATAATTTTACTTAAACTCCAAAGTTACTTGGCCTTCAAGGGAGAAGAATACACAGAAAATTCCCACAATTGTTTCCCTTATTTTAGCATGGTATCAAGGCAACGATCTTGTGATTGTTGTCTAACTAGCTAGTATAGTTCATGCAACCCATGATTTTAATACAGACAAAATCACCGGTGCAAATAAAAGAAAAAATCGGTAACAAATCAAATGCACAAGAGCAGAACAGTATAATACCTTCCCTCTTATTTCTCTCCCTTTTTTCTTTCAAAGCTTCTCTTTTCTATACTAGTAACAATAACATCAAAACCAAAAATATTGCAACAGCAAAACAAAAATCACAGAATCGTTGTGAGATATGAGAACGTATACACCCACTCTCAATTAATTGTTTTTGAGTAGTGGCGAAGACCACATTTTTGTACCTCATTTCAATACTAAATGATGGATATGGGGAGAGAGTTTAACTCTTGCATTCCTTCTCCCTCCCAAAGGAAAAAAAAAAACACTTAAAATTCTGACTGAAAGGCAGGGCAGCAAAGATGTGTGCATGCCTAGCTATATAGCATGTGCATTTATTTTTTTTGCCCAAGTATACTTGCCATTGAGCATGTAGATGATGTCCACTAGGCTTTTATGATGAAACACATAATTTAGTTATTATTCAACTCCGATTAGTCTTGGTTTAAGTTTAGTTTATCCCATGATCTTTAAGGGAACCAAGCCACGCCTTGATGGTCAACGGATCCAAAGCTTTGTTTAACCATAGGTTTTTTTCCCACTTGGGCCTGGTCAACGGAGCCAGTCCCTTTTTATTAACCTTAATTTTCTGTTTGCAATAAGGCAATGACAAGGCTAGCTCACTAGCTAGCGACAGGCCAAAAGACACCATTGTCGTCGACTCAAGAACGTAACCACCGCCAGGTTCTTTATACTCCACTCCTTCTGCAACATTTTTCCTGTCCTGTATTCGTCAGAATTTTAGTGTTTCTTTTTTCTTTGGGAAGGGCAAGGGAGTGCAAGAGTTGACCTCTCTCGACTTATGTCTTACCACATTATTTGGTATTAAAATGTGGTACAAAAATGCGGTCTCCATTATTATTCATAAGATTATTTAGGGTAATTAGGTGTATTCGTTCTCATCTTACAACACGATTCCGTGATTTCTACATGACCGCATACTTTCAGAAGAAGGTTGTATACTCTTTGCACTTAATTAGTATAGTTACAAAAAGATGCCATGATAGGAGCTAAATGAGTATCAACAGATGCAGGTGACCCAACAGGGCTTTGAGCATTTTCTGTAGTACCAGTAGTTTTCATGGCAACAAACATTATATATCAAGATTGGACATGTGTGGGAAATAAATAAATAAACGTCATAGAGCATTCAAGTTTTAAATTGAATTTACATTGCGGTGGAAAAAAAAAGGTAGGGAAAATGAATCTCCATTATTTGTTGCTACCCTTTTCACATGTATTTATATACATGTGATATAATCACTTTCCAGTCTTATAGCTATATCCATAGTTGACTGTCTAAGATGCAAGGGATTTGTAGCTCAAGTGGTTAAGAGTATTTACTCATGCACCCGATGTTTTAGGTTTGATTCCCCCTCCCCTAATATCATTTTATCAAAAAGTAATAATATTAATTGACTGTACGTCTAAGATATTGTGATTTACAATGGCGCCGGAACTTGATAATAATCTCTTTGAACTTGATGATTTCTCTTTGAGGCTCAGTCGCTTAATCCATTTTGGGTTCTCAAATGATTGCATGGGTTCCTTTTATAAACTCCTCCATGAAGCAATGTGATGAAGCAATGACTGATCTCTATGGGATGCTCTGCGCTTCATCTGTAAAAAGAAATTAAGTAAATTTATTTCATTCTGGCTATTATTTTTTAAGGAAATTTGTCAACGCACTTAACTGTCTAAACTATGAGGCATCTACACAACACCTCAAATTGATTTTTCCCTTTTGCCCTTTTGTGAAAGACGACAGCGTTTTATTGAAAGATTAAAACGAGTAGCGATCAACGAGAAGAACATGAGTTTACATATAGAGGCTCCTAAAATAAATGAATAAAACATATCATGATCTGAAAATAAACCCAACTTAGCCAAACAAGCAACTAACGTATGCAAATAAATTTACCTTGCATCCATCCCAGCTAGGAAATGTACAAAACCAATCCCCTCGTGCATCAATTTCTCCCATGCCACCCATTTCTATAACGGAATAAGTTTCTTTCACTAATTTTAATCGTTTCCGAATTTTCTTTTTCCTTTCCTTTTCCCTCTCTTTTTTCCTCGTGACCATCCCACTTAAAACTTGAAAATTGGCTCTCGAGTTCTAAACTAGTAACTAGATTATATGAGCAAAATATGACTTGTATCTAACAGGTTGGGGGTGACATTTATAACAAATTTGGGCGATGAAATTGATGCCGAAATTAAATAAGTCTATTTAGATACATACAATCTTTCACGGATTTCACCTGAAATTACAGAGACCACATACAGAGCAGTTACATAAACCGAACACTAGTTGGAAGGGGAACGGCCTATGACACGTATCAATTTTCACGTCATTCACGTGATGGAATATTCTGGACTAACCTGTGGACGACATCTTCCGGACCCAAAAAAGAAAACCTGGAGACAATATCATTAGTAAGCCCAAATCCATGACAATATTTATGAGTAGGCCCATAGTTGTGCCCGCAATCTTTTTTGGTCCCAAAATGAAGAAAGCCCACTTGAACAGTTGAACCCAGCACAATCAAATACATTACTTGATTGAAATCATTCCGAACGAATCAAAACCAGCTGCTTTATAATCAGCGCAGATGCAGGAGGAGGAGGAGACTCTGGAGAGTGGAGGAAGTGGTGGTCGCGGTGGGTCCCGCTCTCACTTGTGGTGGGCCGGGGCCAGCGCGGCCCAGTTGGGTTGGGCCGTGGTGTCGTCCCGGAGAGGTTGCGCCGGAAATTCCACGACGATGCCTTTCAAGGCCTTTGCCGTTGCGTCCCTCTACGTCGGCTCCATCGCCACCGCAGGCGTCGCTGGCCTGCAAGCCTCTGGAATCCGCAAGGTTAGCTCTCATCTTTCTCTCTCTCTCTCTCTCTGTCTCAGATTCTTAGGGGTATATCAGTCACTTCGGGAAATGTTTTCACTGTGAGTGAAGCACTGCAATTTGCTACAAGTTGTATCAGTGTGGCATGTATCTGTGTTTTGTATTTCTTGTGTAATTACAATTACGTCCCCCTGATTGGATGGTATTTGCAAATATATACGCCCTTGTCTTGCTTTCCTTATTTGTCTGTTTTTCTATCTTTGGCATTTGCAAATATTCAGAATTTCATTTGTCAAATTTTAATATTAATAATAAGCAATGAAGCAAAATGATTGTGAATAACAGAATGTAAGGTTCTGTTCATTTTGAACTTTGAAGTGAAGGATTAGTCTGATTGCTTGGGGAAAAAAAAACCCAGAAAAAGAAGTCAATGAAGTAGATTACATTTTTGGGTAATGGGAAGGTAGTGTTATAGAGACAGATGTTGTCTTCCTGAAAAGAACATTTTGGTGAAGAAAGGAGTATAAGGGAATTGGGGCTCTGTCATGTGGTGCATTGAGTTTGCTGTGACGAATGATATGAGCATTTTTTTCCCTTGTGGGCTCTTTTGAATGGATAGCTAGTCCAGCAATCCTTCTCTCTTTTAGACTTAGTTTCCTTTTTATCAGTTTTAAGATGTTTTGGATTTGGGGTATACCTCTCGTGTACCTTCAATTGCTCTTCCTTTTGTGTTCTTATGGTTCTGAGACTTTTCTCCATCCGCTATTCGTCGTCTTCTTCCTTTCAGATATTTTCATGGAGGAGGGAGAGGTCTGGTTTGGTACAACTTATATCTTAGCTAGAGTGTGGACCTCTTAACTTGAGCTACTCTGGAGACTGGATACCGACTATGGTACAGTTTATCATTGAGTCCTTCAGCCAAATTCATGATTTTTTAACTTAGCCAGGTTTGTTGCTGAATTTATTAGCTTTTGTTAGTGGTTTTGTGGAGTAGATCCTTTAAACTGTTTATCCCTTTTTCTCTTTGAAATCTCACGGCCATTGGAGTCCCCTCATTACTTAAGTTTAGACCTTGTGTAAGTTTGCCAAGTTTAGACCTTACTCTTAAACTTCTTTCAGCCCTCTACCCTGATCTGAATAGGTTTCCGAGTTGCAATACCAAGAATGGAACAATTTATCATGTTTGATATCTACGACTGTTCGGTCCTTATTCTATCTGCATCTTGTTTTACCTTTTCTCAAAAACATGGACGCTACTTAGTAATTAATAAAGGTGTCCTAAAAGAGCTGAGATAACACCTCAAAGTCTTACATAAATCCTTACTGTCTAAAGATGGGAAATTGATCATATGGTTAGATATCCAGTAGAAAGTAAGGAAATTACCAACAAGCCTTTGATTCAATGGGAGTTGTCTCCACTTAGTTCGACGGGGTCTCATATTAGACTCACATGAATGCAAGGATGATATATATTTGTGGTGAGTTAGATACCTAATTGTAGCTAGCCCATTGCAGCAGTGTAGCTTTGTCGTGGGTGAATTATCAACCCCATTGTTAACGTAGATTTGTAAATATCCTATCATTTAGGTTGTTGTGATGTGTACTTCAAATGATACATGTACTCAGTCTGTAAGTTGTTTTACAGGTGGAGGATCTAGTAGAGCTGGGTGCAAACATAAGAACTGGACTTGGGGTACCTCAGAGGACAAGAGACGAATAACCTTTCATTGTTTGGTTGTAATAATTTTATGTTTCGAATTCAATTTCAATTTTATTATATAAAACCAACACCTTTATGTTGGATTCTCATCTTGAAAATATTTTTATTTTTTTTCACTTGATCACTCTTTTCCATTTGTAAGATGAAGTTACCAAACTCATTGAGAATTATCCATTATCTCACCACATTAATGTTCTATTTATAAATAATAAAAAACGTATCTAAGAAAATATTTATCAAAGGAAAAGATGGATTTGGTGCAACAAAAGCATTGGTATGCCCAAGACACAATGGGCAGAACATATGACACAACACCCATGTCGTGCTTAGCACAATAAGAAAACAAAGTGAGTGGGTCTTACATGAATTCTACATGGTTTTATGATTTAAGGACCACAATATATAAGAGAAATGGGATAAAAGTTGAGATCATTCTTCCATCTCTAGTATTTTTCAAATCCAATTCAACCTAATTTTAATTATATGCATTGACACTATATGTGACTCATTTTACATCTAATTATTTATGCTAATATCAAGTGAACTTGACTTGTAATACGCACGAAAAAGTTCAATATCTCTGGGACGCAACGGGGCTCTATCAAGAGCAACGACGAACGAACCCTTATGTGTAGAGATCGCCTAATATTCTAGGGCTTAGTTGTTTTTTCTCTCCTAAATGACCGTATGAATGAATTATTGAGAAAAGTTGACCTGTTTTGCAAATACTAGAAAGTTAGATAAAATAACAAGTAGTAGAAAAAGAAGACAAAAAAAAAAAGTGTCGACGAAAGGGTTTTTGGGGTTCAGTCCTTCTCTCCGTCCGTTTGCAATCTCCACAGGCAGCGCAACTTCCCACTCTATTTCATTTCCCTAACCAGGTAACCCTAATTCTAAAACCCTAACCTGGAAGTATAAACATATTTGCATACGTAGTTGTCCATATGTGTATATTGCGTGATGTGTGCATATAGCCATATAGCTCAGTTTGAGTCTGCGAAGGTTAGCGAGCTCACTTTATCTGAAAAGAAGTTACATTTTTTCTCCTTTATTTGCGCTTTTCAACCGTGTTCGATTTATGAGAATTCCTGAAATTAGAAGAAGTGAAATTTCTGAGAAAGAATTTACAGGAACTGGAATAGTTTGCTGAAGTTTTGGACTTTTTATTTGGCATGAGAGTTATTGCATGAATTAAACTAATCTTTCTGTGCTCTTTGGTTTTATCTTTTAATCGGGTTTGGGGGTGTGCTTGTAATTGTTTAATTCAACATAGATAATTTGTAATTGAGCTCAGGGCCTCAGGGTGAGGTAATCATTGTTAAAAATGAAAATTTAAAACTTTTTAATCACACCCAGCCTCTTCCTCTCGACAGGGAGGAGAAGGCTAGGTTTTCCCATTTTAAAAGAAATGGCGGCACCAACTCAAGAAGAAGGAAGAACACGAAAGAAATTTCGGAAGGAATTTCCAGGTCCAGCCTCTTCTTCTCGACTTAAAGTTAGACGGATTGGTTAACTTGAGTTGTGCTGAATTCACTGTTGCCTAAGAAGTAGTTTATTTTAAAGTTGGGCCTTTAAGGTTAACATCTGGCTTTTGCTCATTGAGTGCTCTGGTAGCATGAACATTGGTGTATTAGTGTTCCGTTATTAAGTGTATCATTTCTGTTTTATCCATTGTAGGTAGATGGCTAGATGGGATGAGATTCTGTCCCTTCCTGTTCAGAGTCCACCAACACTGGAGTTTTCTTCTGCTGATATTGTGTGGTCAAAGGTGGAAGGTTGGCGTGACAATAAAGATAGAGTTGCTCTAATTCCATTTGCTAGAGTTGATGATTTTTTGAGGGGTGAATCCGCGAACAAAGAATGTCCAACAAGATTTCATGTTGAAGCAAGGAGGCGGCGGCAGGCAAAGACGCCTTACAAACCAAAGGTTGATGGTGTTCTTGAATATATTCTGTAAGTTCCACATTTTTTCCTCTGTCCATTCTAGCCAGCATTCCTGCCTTCTATCAGCTTAAATTATCTTCTTTAAATGTGTAGATATTGGTGTTCCTTTGGGCCTGATGACCATAGGAAGGGTGGGGTTGTACGACCTAGCAGGACTACTTATCTCCCAAAGAAGAAAAATGCTGGTCGACCAAACACCAAGAGAGGATGTACCTGCCACTTTATCGTGAAACGCTTAATTGCTGAACCCTCAGTGGCACTTGTCATATATAATCAGGATAAGCATGTGGATAAGAAAGGGGTGCCATGTCACGGCCCGCAAGACAAGATGGCTGCTGGAACGCGTGCTATGTTTGCCCCATACATCTCTGAGGACCTACGTCTTCGTGTGCTATCTTTACTATATGTGGGGGTCTCTGTGGAGACTATAATGCAAAGACACAATGAGTCAGTAGAGAAACAGGGTGGTCCATCTAATCGTGATGATCTTTTAACCCATAGGTACGTTCGGAGACAGGAGAGGATCATTCGACGTTCTAGATATGAATTGGATGCAGATGATGCGGTTAGCATCAGCATGTGGGTGGAAAACCATCAGAGTAATGTTTTCTACTATGAGGATTTCTCTGATGTGGACCCTTTCACTTTGGGAATTCAAACAGATTGGCAGTTGCAACAGATGATTCGCTTTGGAAATCGCAGCCTTCTAGCTTCTGATTCAAGGTTCGGAACAAACAAATTGAAGGTCCGTTTAGTTTGTGTAGCCTTTTTATTGTTAACTGCAATTCTTAATAGAATGTGCAACTGAATATGTTCATGTTTGGATGTTATATAGTATTCAGTTCACAGTCTCCTTGTATTTAACGACGACAACAAGGCCATTCCAGTAGCTTGGATAGTGGCTCCAAAGTTTGAAAGTTCCAATGCCCATAAATGGATGAGGGCTCTTTACAATAGAGTTCAAACGAAAGATCCTGCATGGAAGTTGGCTGGGTTCATAGTGGATGATCCGCTAGCTGATGTGCTCACTATCAGGTTGGCTTCTCAGTCCTTGTCCGAACATCAAACTGACAATAGATGATTGTATTCGCTGATGTTTTGTTTGGTAGAACACAGTCCATAGATCATTTTCCATAGAAATGGCAGTGTGAACCCAACTACATCACCACTTATTAACCTGTTTCCAATGTATTCCATTTCAGTTGTTTACTTATGATTAGAAGATTTGTTTTCAGTTTAATATTATAAGCAGGTGGGATTCTCTCCTTGAAATTAATGCCCAATCTCTTGACTTGATCAGACTGTCCAGTCGATGCACTAGTATTGTGTGATTTGTTTGGTTTTGACCACAAGTGATTTAATTTCAACACATAGCCTTGCTATTATCAAACGATGTTTAAAATCAAGGTTGAAGGCTATAAATAAATCTTATTTATTTATCCAATTTTATGAGGTGACCTTTTGGGGTTTGGGCCAGTGACAATAGCCGCAATGGTTTCAAAATGGAGCAGGCCACTTTGACGTGATCTAGAGCTGTATTTCTTTTTCTTGTTTTAATGGATAAATACTTGCATGATTTGAAGCTAAGTGAATAATGTTTTTTCATTGTATTCAGGGATGTATTTCAGTGCTCGGTGTTGATAAGCTTTTGGCGCGTCCGTCATGCATGGCATAAAAACTTAGTAAAGAAATGTGTGGACAATGAGATGCGAGCTGCAATATCAAGAAGGTTTCATCAGGCAATGGATAACATTTGTCAGCAACGAGGAATTGAGGGTTTGTTTGAGGACTTCATAGAAGATTTTCTAGATGAATCAGATTTTATGGATTACTTTAAGGCAACCTGGTATCCTAGAATAGGTTGGTCACTATCATCTTAAGTAGAGGTATATTTTGCCCTGTGATATGAACTAACATGTCTCTTTTTATTGGCATTCATACAGGTTAACGTGCATATATATATATATATATATATATATATATATCTCTGCATACATACATATATTCATAAATTTTACATATATAATCGCATAAATGTGTGGATGTTCATGTGTGTGTGTGTTTGTGTTTGTGTAATATATAATTTAGTATATGCTTTGCATGTAATATTATCCATTTGTATACAGGGGAATTTGATATGCTAAGAATTGGCCTGCTGATTGTAAAGCAGTCTTTATTTGGCAGAAGATCAATTTATTGCGTGGGTTCAATATAATATTTAGTCTTGCAGATAGTGGCCTTTTTGTTTTCTTTCTCCCCTTTCTATTGAGCCTTTTTTAAAAAAAATTTATTTTTTATTTTGCTTTATTTTGAATTACTCATTGAAGAAAAATGTTTTTTGACATAGGGATGTGGATCTCTGCTCTACAAAATCTTCCTCTTGCTAGCCAGGAAACCTGTGCAGCAATGGAGTTCTACCACAACCAACTAAAGCTTAGGTTGTTGAATGAGAAGAAACCTAGTGTGTACACACGAGTTGATTGGTTGGTTGACAAGCTGGGTACAAAAGTACATTCCTACTTCTGGCTGGATGAATATTCTGAGAAGGATGATTTTGCTCGATATTGGAAAGATGAATGGGTGAGTGGTTTAACATCTTGGCGTAAAGCGTTGAAGATTCCAGACTCCAATGTAGTCATGGAAGGTACATGTGCAAAAGTTATTAACCAGCTTGATCAAGATAGGGCTTATCTTGTTTGGAACCCTGGTTCACAGTTCGGTATTTGCAACTGCAGTTGGGCAGAAATGGGCAACCTGTGCGAGCATGTACTGAAAGTTATCAGTGTCTGTCGGAAAAAGTCGGCTATGCCATCTATAAGCCTATTGCAGTACCACCAGGCCTTGATTGATATGCTGCACTGCCCACCTCTTGATTCTTTGATTCGTGATCATGCTGTTTCTTTAGCCGTCTTTGTTCAGAATCAATTAAATGGACTAGTTAATTTGGAAAGCTGCAATACCACAATGGATGTGACATCTTTTGCTGATCGAGATCGAGAATTAGTAAATGAGGAAGTAGTATCTCATAATGAGAATGATTGTGGGGATGGACATGTCACTGCTGAGAGAACCAAGGGTAAATTGGGTACTGAACAGAGTAATTTGGTAGCACGTGGAAGTGGCATATGTAATGAGAGTTGTGGAGAAGAAGTATCTTGTGATGAGATGGATGTTGACCCATCATCCATCTGTATTTCCCCACCTGGGTTATATTCTGTTGACGAGGTTGTGTCTAGCAGTGTCTTCTCGGGAAGCAGACAGAGGTCATTGTTTAACACAGAGACTGAAGATTTGGCTTCCGCAGATGATCCTCTCACTAATCCAACTGGATATGAGGACGATATCTTAAATAGAAATAGGCAAGAAAATGCGATGGATGAGGACATTGATATCCCTTCTTCAACAATGGAGTTTGTGGAGCAATGCACAGTAACCCATCCGGATGATGACCACATCCATGATATTGAACACACTGTTATTTGCAAGACATCTGATGACAATACTGTATATAACAAGATCTCCCCATCTGCATCTATTCCTGTTGAATCACAAGTGGTTGAAGTAGCTGAAACTTCAGGTGTCATAACAGGAAATGAACAAATGGAAACTGAAGGAAAAAATGGAATGGAGTTTGCGGAACAATGCACAGTAACCGATCCAAATGATCTCCACTGCAATGATATTGAGCCCACTGTTAGAGCATCTGGTAACAATATCGTAGATAGCAAGACTTTGCCATCTGCATCTGTGCCTGTTGAATCACAAGTGGTTGAAGTGTCTGAAGCTTCAGAAAGTGATAGAATAGAAATTGAAGGCAAGAATGGAAGCACAAGTAATCACCAATCATCCGTTGATGATGCTATCACAATTGATGGGGTTCATGACAACTTGATAAATGGTTCTGATTGTAGTCAGTATTCAAATGCAGTTGGCACTTTGATGGTTGTACAAGGAGAATCATTGCTTAAATGCTCATTAACATCGAGTTACAATGAGGAACGTCTGCCTGTTGAGAGTGGGGATACTGAAACTGTTTCTTCTGAGAAGCCGTCTTTAATTACTGAATCTCATCTTACTAGGACTAAACCTCAAAACGGTGCTGAAAGCATTAACAGTAACAATGGTGTGATCAGCCAACCAGTTGCCAATGGCATCAATACTACTGCTGCTGAGGGAACAACTTCAATGGAGACTGCTGAGGCCTTTTGACAAGTGTGGCATCCAACAAACTTGTGACAGATGAGCTAAAATATTAGTGCTATTAGTGCTTTAGTTAGCTGTAGGGTTTTCTTCATGTATATACTCTTCAATTGATCCAATTATAGCTTTTTGGTTCGTTGACCTGATTTGTTGTACCAAAGTTATATGGCTGCTAACTTACATTTGAGCTTTACAGCATTTCAAGGAAACTTTGAAAGCTAAGATATCTTGGCCCAATGGAAGTAGTAAATGTATCTCTTTATATTGTTTTTGTGAAGGAATAGCATTTAGCCGTGTGAACCACTGTCAATAGGAAAAGCAGAATTATTATAATGGCTGGTTTTGGAACTGTTTTTTTCTTCTTTGAAATCTTTTTTTATTTTTTGTTACATCGGAGTTCGACCCTGAGTTCAAATTCGGGTGCCAATGGGGTATTGGCTTCTCCTTTGAAATCTTCAAGCAGTCCTATCCTACCAAGTAAATGTTTAATTTCCCGGGAATTTTTTGATTTTTTATAAACAAATTTGAGGTAAAAATGTCAAAAGAAACAGGGCTCCTTGCTTTGATGGTTGGAAATTAAAATAAAAAATAAGAGAGGGCCATTTTCGTAACTTCACCGGTGTGATTTTGAAACAGAGAAAAAAGTGCGAATGTGGGCTAATTAGTGGACGATGGCATTAGTAACTGCCTTAACCGCCACTACACAAACGATAAGAAAATCACAGAGATTGCTGCACAACTTATAGAAAAGCTTTTGCAAAAAAAGTGACAAAAGTAACTCCCTTTGTGTCTGAGAAAGGAGAAAGAATTCTGAATGGAGGGTAGAAGAGAAGAGGGTATAAGGAAAGGGCCATGGAAAGCAGAGGAAGATGAAGTTCTGTTAAACCATGTGAAGAAGTGTGGCCCAAGAGACTGGAGCTCCATTCGATCCAAAGGCCTCTTGCAGAGGACTGGCAAGTCTTGCCGTCTCCGTTGGGTCAATAAGCTTAGACCCAACTTGAAGAAGTAACCCAACTCATCATCCACCATTTCATTTTCTCTTTCTTTTTTAGTTGTTGCTTCTGGTACATTGTTTCATGCACATGATATGTGATGAAGATTTTTTTAAAAATAGGTTCTTGGGTTTTTTTGCTGATTAAGATTTCAAAAATGGGTTTTTGTTGCTAATCAAGATTTAGCAAATGGGTTGTTGGGTTTTTTTGCTAATTGTATTTGGAATTTGTGTTTGTTTCTCAGTGGGTGCAAATTCTCACTAGAGGAGGAGAGGGTGGTGATAGATTTGCAAGCACAATTTGGGAACAAATGGGCAAGAATAGCAACCTATTTGCCTGGGAGGACTGACAATGATGTCAAGAATTTTTGGAGTAGCAGGCAGAAGAGGCTGGCTAGGATTCTGCAGGCATCAGCACCCTCCAAGTCACACAAAAACAAAAGGGAAGGCCCTGTTTATGATGAGGTTATCACTTTGGAGGTAAATGACATGTTACTTCCAGAAAGAAGAAAAACCTAATATTGGTTTTCTGGATGTGTAAATGACAACTTTCTTTCATTTTTCTTTAATCATTTTTGGTAATGACTGCAATTGATGTCATTTGCACATGTAGAGACGGGTTTTTAACAGAAAGAAAATAAGCTTTTCTACTTATGCACTTGAAATATTCTGTCTGAAATTGATTGCATTTCCATGTTAGCCCCATTTAGACGTTTTAATTTGTTCAACTTTTGGTAGTTAGAGTTACAAGAACAAAAAAATGGAAGCGAGATGAATAAGTCTTGACGAAAAAGATGTCGTTATTATTGTTATGGACCTACGGTTCCTACAAATTCAAGTATTGTAATTAATTGTTAATTATGTTATTGGAATTTTTTTTATTTCCTCTCTAGGCTCCAAAGTTCAGTTGTTCATCAGAGGGAGAATCATCATCACAGGCTCAGTCATGCTCTTCACCACCTTGCTTTGGGAACTCCGAGATTATCAAAATGGTGCCACTACCAGATCTTGTTAAGCCCAAGTTACTTGCTCTTGAAGCAAACCCTGTTCAACAAGAGCTTGCCCCAACTGAGAAGAATCCATGGATTGAGCCCCAACCACTAATCCCTTTCCTGCAGAACCCACAACCCCAAACAGACCTAGAATTCTCATTAGAAACCCAAGAACTCTTGGCAAGATTTGACCCCTATTTCGACATGTTAACGCCTCTGGTTGCTTCAGAACTTGGAAATGGAGGAGAACAACTTCTCATGGAGCCCCCATTTCTCGAACCGGTAGGAAGTTGTGGAAGTGGTGAAAGGGACAAAATTGGCAATCCCATAACCCCGGACTGTGTCTTCGACGACTTACCGGTAGACATGTTTGATCAGATTGAACTGCTTCCAAACTCATCAGAGCAGCATTGAATGGTAGTAACCTTGTAACTTCAAGTTTGCATGTAGGATGTGGAAACTAAACACTAACTTTGTATTAGTTTCTTTCGCTAGAAATTGACAAGGTCTAACTGGCATGATAATTTCTTGTTAGTGCCATTATTTGTACTAGACATTGAACTACACATAATAGCAAGTCAAGTTGCCTCTGCCATTCTTTGTCCAACAGGCATGATAGTTGCTTCTTCTTAAAGAACGGTACTATGCTTGCATGTACTGTAACTCAAAACACTTATAGAACAAGAGTAAGAGAACTTTCTTTGAAGGTTTCAGTCATTTTTCGGTTGTTAGTGATTGAAGTAGCACATGATCATATTGATAAAGGAGAAGAGGGGGTGAAGGGAACTTGTTCTGATGTAAAAAAGAAGCTTTTGTTTCATTTCTTTCAAACCCGAGCGCTTCATGGCCTGGTCGCAAATACATGGAACTGAACTTGCAAAAGAAAACGTAAAAGAGAAACTATTGTCTGATCAATTTGTAAACCAGTCAGCCTGGAATGAATTCCAATAATTGGAGTTTTGGTGTAAAAATGCAGTCAATCACGCTAGAAAGAAGGAAATATTACACGATCGTTACTCTGATGGTAAGCTTAAATCACCTGTCTCCACAATTTCAAGCGAGTAACTGAGACCAGTCTGGCGAAGATTTTTCACTACCTCAAACTTCCCAGCAGTTGTTGGCTGATCTTTGTCGAAGACAGGCCTTCTTAGTTCTGAATATGCACAGTAATTTACTTCATAAACTGTGGCGCCCTCCAGGAATAAAGAAATTGATGAACCAACTCCTTCACCTGCACAAAGATGCTTTTATCTTAGATTCGAAAGGTGTTTCCTTGGGAAGAGGAACACATTGCTGGAGTTACTAAAGAACGAATATAAAAAGCTGCCGAAGATTTCCAAAAACATAAAAGAGAAACTAAAAACTCAAGAAAGAGTTGAACCAAATATGAAGCCTACCATGAGTGACAAGGAGCAGATTTTCTGCAGGGTATTTATCTGCAAGGGCCTGAATGACCTCAGCGTATCTAGCCCGTGCACCCGTAACACTCTCTCCCCACTGGGGCAACTGGAGTCAACCACAGGAAGAGGTTCCATTAGGCAGAGCAAAATTCATTTATGTCCTTATATACACCAAGAAATTTCCATATACCTCTTTGTACACTCGTTCCACAGTTTGATCGATTGTCCCAGCTGGGAACAAAGCCTCAAGCTCTGCTATATTGAAACCCCATCGTTGCCCATCTTTTGGAGCTAAGTCACCACGGATGGCCTCCTTGTTCAGCATCTCACATAACCCATATTCAATTGAGACCTGTAAAATGGACAAACAGATTGAATCCTACATGCCATTGTTACTCCACATATTATTATCACCAAACTTAAATATACTAAGGCTGTGTCTGTACAACACTTGTCTTAGCGTTTTCAATATCTGGCATGTTATGTTGTCAAAACATGAAGTACAAATCTTAAAACATAAGTTCCGATTCAGAGTCCAATAAGATAATATGTGAAACATCTAATACATGATTGTCAATTTATATACATAACTCTCCCAATTAAGAACAGTTACCCTGCGCTTGAAATTATGCGGTCAAATCCCCACCACTTTCAATATCGCTCGTATAAAAAATGAAATAAATTTTAAAATTTTAAAATTTTAAAAGAAAAAAACTCTCTCAATCGATCTACGTCACATATTGTTGTGCCCAAAGAAAAATTACTGTATATATCTTATTATGCACGCAAACTATCAGAACAGGACCGAATCCACATACATATATATACAAATTTGATTCAATAAGCAATCACAATCCTCAACATGTAATAACAAAATATGGTGGGGCCCACCTTGAGCTTAGAAGGATCGACAGGGAGGGGCTGGTCGCTTTCGTATTTGGAGAGAGTAGGGTGTTCGCTGGCGGAGAGAGCGGTGACGACTTGGACGGCGGTCTCGACGCAGCGTATAAACGGCGAGACGAAGACCCGATTGATTTGGAATCCGAGATCGGATCGGAGCTTCGTACCCGTGCAGAAGGCCCGATCCTTGCCCGCTTGGACCAGAGGCGGGTCCCATGGTCTCGCTGCCTGCGACACCCAGAGAGGCTCGAAGTTGTCGATGCGGTCGCCGTGGCGCATGACGACGACGTTTTGGAAGCGTTGCGCCGCGGGTTGGCCGGAGTCGGGCGCGTCCATATCGGGAGATTTTGAGAGAAAAGTCAGAGAGAAAAGTATAAACAGAGAGTGTTTTAATTTTTAATCTTTTTTCTTCTTATTTTTTTGTTTAAGAGGAATTTAGAGAGAGAGAGAGAGAGAGACGAAGACGAATGGTCGTCGCAGTTACGTGCTGGTAATTAATCCATCTACATAATTAACATATTATGTCTAGGTACCACCAAAACACTACCAAACATATATATATTCTTACATTATTGACGGTTTTTTTAGTAGAATCTGATTCAAAAGGAGACCTTAAGCAAGAATCTGATTCAAAGAAAATGGACATGAATAGTGTGTTACGCACAACACCATCTATTATTGGCACCGGAGTTCATAGCCAATTAGTGGATCAAAATTCCATGGTTGACATTAATACCCTATTAGGATATTTGATCCAAGTTTAAATGTCAACCATTGAATTTTGACTCCAACATAGATAGATGACTATGGGGGGCGACCAAAATGACTTCACGCATGGGTTCTTATTATTATTATTATTATTTGAACAGTTGTTTGGATGTGGAAACTTTAAAATGGTGACGATGATGATAGTGGGAGTAGTTGTGGTTGTGGTGACCATGTTGTTGGGGGTTGCTATCGATGATGGTGGTGGTGCGATGATGATGGTCGTAGTAGTGGGGGTGCTTGTGGTGTGACAATAATGTTGAGGATTTGGTGATATGAGATTAATGCTAAATTATTAAGGAGGACAAAAGTCAGAGCACTTAAATGATAAATAAAGAGTTACAAGACTAACTTTAATTTACAAGACTAAACATGGATATAAAAATAGCAATAAGCAATCAAATTTGACTGTTTAGCCATAATGGTTTTCAGAAATTTAATCAAATATCCCGAGACAAGCTCTACTAAAAGTTTACAAGATAAAATAATCAAAAAATAAAAGTTTAGGTGAAATGAATCCACCTAAATGAGAGAGAAGATAGAGCCCAAACCTAAACAGATCATAAGTAGTATATGTGTGGTGGAAGATGAAGGTGTGAACTGTCGCAAAACAATAGGAAGAAGTGAACCAGTCATATGGGCTTTTGCTTAACTGTGTATTTTTTATTTTATTTTTGGTAAATACAACAAGGTGTCCCCACATTCGAAGGGTGAAATTAATTCCCGCTCAAAGTTCAACTCGTTTGTCCTTGGTCACAAAGTGCTCTCAACTGGTTTCGAACCATTACCTTTGAGGCACCAGGCAATTCGCCAATTGAAAGTGCCAATTTACCAACCATATCACACATTGTGGTTGCTTAATTGTGTATTCTCTAACTCATATGTTATGTAAGTCCACAATATGGTAAAATGACACATATCCAAGGTCAAAATCCATCAATCAAAAAATACAAAACTCCACAAATTGAGTTACCCGATTATTCCAAAAGGCACATATAGCTATTAAAAGACAGCTGACATGACGTTAGGCCATCTCCAGCTATAGGGCTAAATGTAGTCCATGGCTAAAAATTTAGCCCCCCAAAATATTTATTTTTTAAAGAATAGTGCAAGGCTAAATTTTTCCATCTCCAGCCATACAAGGCTATATTTTAGGGTCCTTCATATTTTATTATTTTGAGAAAAACTATAGTACAGCACTCATACATTCCACAACTATATATTGTTTAATTTAATTAAACTAATATTTAGGGACAATATTCCATATATGACAGGTATTAAAAACAAGATTTCTGAAATGTGGAATGAAATGAGTGGGAGAGGTGTTTATAGACAAATTTTAGGTTTTTAAATTTTTAAAAGAAATAATAATAAAGCAAACAAAGGCAATTAAAAAAAATTAATAACTGGAAGGGTTCAAGGGTCTAAGCTCAACGGTTATGAACAAGACTTTTTTATTATTTTTTTTAAACAACACTTGAAAAGATGGCAAAAACTGACCACATTTATTTATTTTTTTTAAAGAAAAAAAAAGGAGTGGGTAGGTATGGATTCCAATGGTCATTGCCAACAAAAAAACAATCAAAAACCTTTTAAAAAAAATATATATATATATATATATATATCCAGCTTTTAAAAAGGGGAGTGGTGAGTGCTTTAATGATTGATTGTTAAAAAGCACATGGATGGGGCCCATTATAAATTTGGCCTAGGCTAAAGCTGGGCTATATTTGGCCCGATTGGAGGGCTAAATGGCCAAATGTGGCCCTCCAAATTTGGCCAAAATTTTATTTAGCCTATGGCTGGAGATGGGTTTTGCATTAATTTAGGGCTATATTTGGGATATCCTAGTACACCGAAGTGTGTCGAAGGTACAAGACTTGCATGTCACAGACAAGGTGCTGAAGGGAACGTAGGTGCCGAAGGTGTAAAACTTGCATGTCTCATGGCGATGTGCTTAAGCATGGGGATGCCAAAGGCGACAAAAAGCTTGCATGTTGTAAGGCAATGTGACTAGGCACGGAGGTGCCGAAGGCAAAGGGGATGTCGAAGGCACAAAGTTTGCATGTTGCAGGGTGATATGCTTAGGCACGAGGGTGCCAAAGGTGACACAAAACTTGCATGTTGCAAAGTAATATGGCTAGGCATAGGGGTGCCGAAGGTGAAGGGATGCCGAAATATGCACAGGAGTGCCGAAGGTAAAGGGATACCGAATAGGAAGCTTGCATGCTGCAAGGCAATGTGGCTAGACACGGGGATGCCGAAGGCAAAGGGGATGTCGAAGACACAAAGCTTGATGTGGCCAGGCACGGGGTGCTGAAGGCACAAAACCTCTGGAGCCACTTATGAGCCTTCATCTCTTCGACACGAGCCTTCCCATTCGGCAAGGAGGCCAGGACGAGGTTAGGATGGGCTTAGGCTAAGCTAGGTATGAAGGTGCCGAAGGTGAAGGGAATACCGAAGGCACAAAGCTTGCATGTTGCAAGGCGATGTGGCTTGGCGCCGGGGTACTGAAGGCGACACAAATATTGCATGTCGCAAGGCGATGTAGCTAGGCACCAGGGTGCCGAAAGGAAAGGGAATGCCGAATGCGACAGAAAGCTTATATGTCGCAAGGAGGTGTGGCTAGGCACGGGCGTGCAGAAGGCAAAGGGGATGCTGAATTCTTAAAACTTGCATGTCGCATGACGATGTGCCTATGCACGGGGGTGCTGAATGATAGACAAAGCTTCCATGTTGCAAGGTAATGTGGCTTGGTACGGGGGTGCCGAAGGCACAAAGCTTGCATGTGGCAGGGTGATGTGCCTAGGTATGAGCCGAAAGCAAAGGGATGTCAAAGGCAATACAAAGCTTGCATATTTTAAGGCAATGTGACTAGGCACGGGGCTGCCGAAGGCAAAGGGATGCCGAATGAGACACAAAGTTTGCATGTTGCAAGGTAATATGACTAGGCACGGGGGTGCCAAAGGCAAAGGGGATGCTGAAGGCTACACAAAGTGTGCATGTTGCAAGGCGTTGTTCCTAGGCATGGAGGTGCCGAAGGTGACACAAAGTGTGGCTAGGCACGGGGGTGCCAAAAGCACAAAGCTTGCATGTCGCAAGACAATGTGCTTAGACACGGGGGTGCCGAAGGAAAAAGGGTTGCCGAATGAGAAGTTGATCAAATGGGTGCCAAAGGGCACTGAAGAAAGGAAGATCAACAAAGGCTTCTTGTGTTGATTCCCACAGACGACATCAAAGTGTTGATGCTTTTTTTTAGAAGGGTCAACTTAGATAGAGGTGGAATTATGGATGATGGGTGAAGGTGAGGACCTTTAGCATGTGTGTGAAGATTATGGCAAACGATAAATATACAAAAGACGAGATATACGTGGTTCACCCTTAATGAATGGGCTACGTCCACAAAGAAGTATGTTCTCATTATAATAATGTATGATTTGTACATGGGGTTAGACCCAAATATAAAGATAAGAAGAGGGAAGCCTATGATTAAAGATAAAGCCCAGCCCAAGGATCCCCCCTTAAATGGAGAGTGGTCTCCTCTTATAGGTGAATGAGAGTCTTCACTTCTTATAGTTTTTCGATGTGGGACTCCTCTTGCTTTGCTTAGAGTTGTGACTTGTGGTAATACTTCTTTGGCTAAGGTGATGACCTCTCAAAGCATGACACATGGATGATCTAGCCTAGATAGTTGTTTAGCCAGTTACGATGCCAACAGTTCTTGTCCAATTTGTTGTCTTCCCTCCTCCCCTAATGGCATGTGATTTAGCAACCATTGTTGATTTTGTTGGCTCAAATTTCACCCACATGTGTCTTCATGATGGCTGCCATAAATTGTGTCAGCTAAAAGTGTTGAAAGTTGTGGAAGAAAGAATAAATTCTTTCTTTCTTTAATGTCTCTTCGATGGAAGACAATGCATGGTGCAATGATGAAGGATTTTTTCTTTTTGGGCTAGACATCACGTGGGTTGACACGTGATCATTAATGTTCCTTGTCTTAAGGAGGACTTTGGGGAGCTTGACCAAATTCCTTTTGCATATGGTTGCTCTCTTTTGGAGAGTTGCTGTATGGGTTTATAAAAGGGAGAAAGGGAGCATGCATCAGAGAGAGATAGCAGAGAAGAAGCTGCACCAAAAAGTGAGGGAAAGAAAAATAGCAAGAAGCCATTCGGCAGAGAGAAGAAAATTCTCAAATTGTTCTTTGCTTTATATTTTTGGTTTTCTCTTCCTATTGTGAGTGTGTGAGCTTGGGTTATTTGGGTTTTTGGGAAATTGAGTGTTAAACACTAATGTATTCTCTCATTTGATTATAGTGGAATACTTCGTCGTCTCCAAACTGGATGCAGGCATTGCCGAAATAGTATAAATCTTGGTGTTCTTGTTGGTGTTGTTTTGTTTTTAATTTCTTGCCAGTTGTTGTTTAATTTTCACTCATAGTTGGTTGACGCTTCCGCACAACATAAAAGTATCTAGCACAAGAAATTAACAAATCTTGTCTTTCCTTAATTATGCAAAACCTAAAAACGAGTGTGGTATCTGGCACAAGAAATTAATCCTTTATTTATGTGAACAATTCAAACATGAAAATTATTTGATAAAGTTCACACAAATCTTTATATGTTTCGACACACCACTTTGCAATTTTAGCACAGCATATGCATATTGGGCTCCGAATACTATTCAAAGCTCTGCAACCATCTATCTTAATCATAAGACAGCTTTTCTAATACTCTAGGCGCGTCAACCACAGGTAGCGAGCATATTTCTACTTCAACAGTTAATACATCATTCTTAATGAACCCCTTCGACAAGTCACGGGTAGTTTTCCACAACATAAAGTCTAGGAAAACAATTTTGCAGTTTGAGGAACATAACCAGTGTTGAACTGAAATAGAGAATAAATTTTTTAGAGAATTATGTAAAACAATAGTAATGTTCTCTTGTGAAACAATAGTAACTAGTCTAGGATAGCCGAGTCTAACCCTCCATATCAAACGGGACCTTAATTCTTACTTCATTTTTTCTTTTCTAGTGAGGACTATGAGTTGATACATAGATAAGGAATATAGCAAACAGAGATAGGTGTAAAGGGAATTACCTCTTTTTTCAATAGTATGTTTACCATGGACTCGATCCAATACCCGAAGCTTGAATTTTGCACAAAAGGTCGGAAAGTTCTTCCAATCTTCTTTCAATTCTAACATAAGTAATAATGATTTATTCTCTAGTTCTTCGTTCTAACAAATACTTAAATTCTTAAAATTAATAAACACAAGAAAGTTACAATGATCCCCGTTTAACTTCCATAGCAAATAAAGGATTGCATAATGTCTCTTTTTATATCGAGTGTGAATAACAGTTCTCTTTATATACATACGTAAGACATATTGCACGTATGTACCATTTTCTTCCTTGAAGTTAGACATAGGGACACGAAAACGCGACACGGTGACATGAGAAATCTCAAAAAACTAAGACACGGACACGGCTAAGACACGATAATTAAAATAATAATAAACTTATATATATTAAAAAATAATAGGAAAATTAGGTATTAGACATTATTAAGTTTACTAATTAGTTTTTTTTTTTTTTTTTTTTTTTTTTTTTTTTTTTTTTTTTTTTTTTTTTTTTTTTTTTTTTTTTTTTTTTTTTTTTTTTTTTTTTTTTTTTTTTTTTTTTTTTTTTTTTTTTTTTTTTTTTTTTTTTTTTTTTTTTTTTTTTTTTTTTTTTTTTTTTTTTTTTTTTTTTTTTTTTTTTTTTTTTTTTTTTTTTTTTTTTTTTTTTTTTTTTTTTTTTTTTTTTTTTTTTTTTTTTTTTTTTTTTTTTTTTTTTTTTTTTTTTTTTTTTTTTTTTTTTTTTTTTTTTTTTTTTTTTTTTTTTTTTTTTTTTTTTTTTTTTTTTTTTTTTTTTTTTTTTTTTTTTTTTTTTTTTTTTTTTTTTTTTTTTTTTTTTTTTTTTTTTTTTTTTTTATTAATACAAAGTACAGCATGTTTCCTAGAGCTGAAAACAGAGGATGCTTCTAAAGTTGTCTTTAATGTGAGCGAAAGGAAAAATTGGGAAACAAGAGTGGCAGAAGTCGTATATGTCAAAGATTCTGACCACGCATCGTGTAGCTGCAAAAGATTTGAATTTGTTGGAATTATTTGCAAGCACATCCTAGCATTGTTCAGAAGGGACCAGATTGAATATATGCCCGATAAATACATTTTGAAGAGGTGGAAGAAAACTGCGAAATTTGGATTGGTGTCAGATGCAAATGGCAACGAAATTAAAGACTCTGCAGATCCTGGTCTTTTAATAAAGCGGAGTACAATGTCCCGACTTGCTTCAGATGTGGTTGAGGATGCATTAATGTGTGAAGAAGGATGTGAGCTACTGTCAGAGACTCTAAAAAGTTTGCGGGTGAAGTTGAAGTTGTTGAAGGATGGACCAAGTAATAACGAAGTTGGAGGGTCCAGCTCTCAAACACAATATATGAAAGACCCTAAGAGAGTAAGGTGCAATGGAGGGTCGAAACGAGTAACGGGAGCAAAGGAAAAGGCAATGAAGCGAGGGATTAGACACTGTCGGGAGTGTGGACACATTGGTCATGATAGAAGACAATGCCCAAGAAATTTGAACACACCGTAAGATGTTAACACTATTTATAATAAGACCTAAAATTTGAATAGGTAAAGTTCTTATGTGCTTCTGTTTGATGTTTATGCAGGACATCACCGTCGAACAATGACGAATCAACTCCAATAGATCTTAGTGACCCATTATTCGACGAATTTTACAGGATGCACGGACCAACTCAATGATTTAGGTTTCTATTATACGAAGCCCGGTTATTATGAAGACTAATGATCAGGTGAAGTTTTCTAGATGCAGTTTTATTATTATTATTTTTTTGTTCATGTCCACCGATGAGCTCTTACTATGTCCATTGATAATTGAAATGAAAATTTGCTTGGTTTCATTCTTGCATGAAATTTGGACACATGTTAATTTTACGTCTTCTCCCTATTTAGAAATTTTCATAGACATTAGATAAAGCATCAAATTTTGATTTATGTGAAGAAGCAATGACTTTTACCTTGTAAAATGGGTAGTTTATGGTGAATTATGTTTTAACAGAGATTTATTGATTATGACAGGCTAATGCAGCATTTCCAGCAGCCAGCTGTTGTTTCCATTACCAGTAATGATTTCCAGCAGCACGCATCATTTGTAGCAGCACCCACTTTTTGCGAATGTTATGTTCTAGTGTTTTACTGGTGATTAAGATCTGAGCTGGACTGGTTATTAGGTGCACGATTTTGCAAACATTCGTAACTGAAGGATACTTGAAGCACTTTGTTGGAACAGAAAGATTAGAAAGCAACGTGTAAAAAAGTACATTGCAGCTAATCACATTTCGAATGGTTGGGTAATATTAAAGGGTACACTAACATTTGAACTACTCATAATTCCACACACAAAAGAAAATTTGATTGCAAAGCATTTTATGTGCTCCCTCTTAGCAATACCACGATCTCCCCAATCAACTGAACAACGGTAGCCACAATCACTAGGTCGTATTGGTCAGCTTCTTCTTAGCAGGTCTCACGTGCTTATGGTCACTCATGTCCCCCGTGATATAGACAAAATAAATATTCAGCAATATTTGGAATTTTATTATATATACATAAACCATAAACCATTCACTACACAATGTATAGCACATGGTATTTTACTTATGACTCACGTGTCATGATAATGGGGCTTTACTGATTCCCAACGTGCTGTGATATTGATGCTTATTGAATAATATTTCCATATTTGCAAAATATAATGTTAGACAGAAGGAACACATGATGACTTGCAAGACATAGTCCCAATAATTATATATGAAGCAAATGAAACTGATATTTGTATTATTTTATATTAGATAATGACATTAAGGGAATATAGTTCTAATTTGTGCAATACCACGATCACCCCCAACCAACAGAACAGCTGTAGCCGCAATCACTTAGTCGTATCGGTCGGCTTCTTCCGAGCAGCTTTGACGTGCTTATGCTCATTCATGTCACCACCATCGTCTAGTATCTCTCTCACAGCATCAGGGGACACATAGTCCCAATTATAACTTGTATGAGTAGTTGCCGCGAATGCTCGGAATTTTTCGAATCCTTCGTTGAATGCCAACTCCAGTTCACTGTGGTGCTCTTCGCATCGCATATGGTTCATCAAACAACCTTTAATTTCATCATTCATTACTGCATCCAACTCCTCAGCTTTCAGCTTCCTTTTATGACTCAGCTTCAAGTACTTGTTCTTTTGGGAGAACGCTTTGTTCACTCTAATGTTAGATCAGCCAAAATGGCCTCGTCTTCAACACATTTCTCGTGCCATGAATTGATCAGTCTGGAATTATAATCCAGCTTGGTACTGACTGCATCTATTGCCTCTAATGGATCATCGGAGTCCCCCTCACTCCCAAATGATGTTGAAAATGGAAGGGGTCGGCGAGTACAACGTGGAAACGGAACCTGCGACTCCAATTTTTCATCTTCGATTGTGTTGTTGGCGCCTGAAGAGGTTGACATGCTTGAATAATCCTATTTGTTTTAGAGGATGAGGATTGCAGATGCAATTTCGTTTGAGAAATGGAACATAGCTTTATAGACCAACATACCAAAGCTTGCGTGTAGTCAACATATCTACTTTATTTCAATTTTAAAAAAAGAGGTGTCAGGTTTTGCTTTTCAAGCATGTCAACCTCACACTCTCCTTACACCACTGTTAGTGGTTGAAAGAAACTCAATGGAAGTGACATCTAGTTAGTGAACCCAACCAAACTAAACAAACTAGTTAGGATTAAACTTAGATTGTATGAGACCTTTTTTCATTTATACATTGTCAACCAAATGTTTTTTTTGGCGGGAACCCTTTTTTATTGGTATTACTATCACCCCCTTCATAAAAATTCTCCCTCCACAAAAAACTCACTCCTCCACCGAATCTATCTCCATCTACTGAAACTCTCTCCCCCCATTGAATGGATTTACTAACCAAGTTTGATGTGAGCATAATAAACACCCCTCCAAACAAAGACCACCTTCGAAACGCAAGTGAGTCACCAGACAAGCAATGTCACTTTCCTAGACAGAATGACCATTTTGTTGGAAGTTTTGAGTCTGAAAGAGTTCTTGCTTTCTGGAAGGAGAGGCATCTTCAACTTGGTGATGAAATCCAAAGGGCAAGGGCACGTTTGGAATTTGTTGAAGGCCAAATTGAAGATGACAAAAGGCAGGCCAATCTGGATAGGGCGAAGTTGCAGCGCATGAAGCGTAGACACAAACGACTTCGGAGTGTAGCTGTTCAAAAATACAAGAACTCATCTAATGCAATGGAGTCAAAGAAGCGTGTGATGCAAGCTGGATTCGACTACTTCCGGTCCTATGCAAAACTCGTCGTACCCGGGTTTGATTGGTCATCTATTACCGTTTCCGACGTTAACAAATATACTCAGCAAGGGAAGTAACCATTTTGGTTATCGTGTTTGAGTAGAGGCAAATCAGAGGAACTGGAATTTTCGTTAAACTCTGCTTCAAACCTATTTTGATGCTTACTACTATAGAAGATTTCAACCTTAATATTTTGATGTCTTTAATTACGATAACACGATGCAAAGTGCCCATCTACTTCAGTCATATGTTGCTGCCATGTCCATTTTTTTGTGATCACGTATCAGATTTGGACATGGTTGCATCATATGCAATGTTGCCTTTATGTATTATATGTTAGGGTAAGGTTTATGGAAAAGCATGTGTGAGTGGTTTTGTGACAAGGTTATGGCATTATTTTGTACCAGTTATATATTGTTTTTTGTACTGGTTCATCTCCTACTATTGCTTTATTTCTTTATATTATATGTTTATGCGATTGGACATGATAGAAAATATATTACTGATTCCCAATGCGGCGTCATAAGGACAACTTATTGAATACCGCCGACGTGTTGAAAACTCTAGGTGCAGGTGCATATGGACAACTTATTGACTATCTCTGACGTCTTCAAAGCTCTAGGCGCATGCGCAGTTCCAATGATGGCTTCGAAGTAGTGGTGCATTTATTATATATGTACATTATTATAACCAAAACAGATAATTTTACATCCTTATATATGAAAGGAAACTAATTCTTGTATTAGTACAAATTATATAACGAATATTAAGGAAATATACTTGTTAAAGTGACAAACATATATACTTAGGGTTAGGAGGAAAGTGAGTTATGTAAACAATTTTTGAATTTTTAATTGCGAAATGGATGATTTATGGGTTCCATAGTTTTATAACGTCATAAGGAGGCCGGAGTATTTGTCGGGGCATTTTTAGGATTTTTCTACTATTTATTGCATTTTTTCAAAGATTTTTGCACTAAAAAAGCCAAAATAATTGCCAAATGGACACATGGCGCGATCTCAACCCCTCACCTTTCACCCCTTGACAAGTGTGCGTCAGTCAACATGGCCACATCCTTACCTTTTACCCTAAATTATTATTTTATGACTTTTTCTTAGAAAATTCATAACTAAATACACAAAAATCAGAAAAATGATCCGAAAATTGCTACGAACTCATTGAGACTCCATCTCCCTTGCTGAATTCCCCGATTAGTGGTTACGCATTTTAAAAAATAATTCCGAACATTAACGGGAGATGCTTGTTGAAGTAGGTTATTGAAGTTAAAGTTAACAAACATATATACTTAGGGTTAAGAGGAAAGTGAGTTATGTAAATCATTTTTGAATTTTTAATTGCGAAATGGATGATTTATGGGTTCCCCTCGTTTTATAATGTCACAAGGAGGCCGGAGTATTTTTTCGGGGCATTTTTAGGATTTTTCTACTATTTATTGCATTTTTTCAAAGATTTTTGCACTAAAAAAGCCAAAATAATTGCCAAATGGACACATGGCGCGATCTCAGCCCCTCACCTCTCAACCCTTGACAAGTGTGCATCAGTCAACATGGCCACATCCTTACCTTTTACCCTAAATTATTATTTTATGACTTTTTCTTAGAAAATTCATAACTAAATACACAAAAATCAGAAAAATGATCCAAAAATTGCTACGAACTCATTGAGACTCCATCTCCCTTGCTGAATTCCCCGATTAGTGGTTACGCATTTTAAAAAACAATTCCAAACATTAACGGGAGATGCTTGTTGAAGTAGGTTACTGAAGTTAAAGTTTACAAACATATATACTTAGAGGAAAGTGAGTTATGTAAATCATTTTTGAATTTTTAATTGCGAAATGGATGATTTATGGGTTCCCCTCGTTTTATAACGTCACAAGGAGGCCGGAGTATTTTTAGGATTTTTCTACTATTTATTGCATTTTTTCAAAGATTTTTGCACTAAAAAAGCCAAAATAATTGCCAAATGGACACATGGCGCGATCTCAGCCCCTCACCTTTCACCCCTTGACAAGTGTGCATCAGTCAACATGGCCACATCCTTACCTTTTATCCTAAATTATTATTTTATGACTTTTTCTTAGAAAATTCATAACTAAATACACAAAAATCAGAAAAATGATCCGAAAATTGCTACGAACTCATTGAGACTCCATCTCCCTTGCTGAATTCCCCGATTAGTGGTTACGCATTTTAAAAAACAATTCCGAATATTAACGGGAGATGCTTGTTGAAGTAGGTTATTGAAGTTAAAGTTAACAAACATATATACTTAGGGTTAAGAGGAAAGTGAGTTATGTAAATCATTTTCAAATTTTTAATTGCGAAATGGATGATTTATGGATTCCCCTCATTTTATAACGTCACAAGGAGGCCGGAATATTTTTCGGGGCATTTTTAGGATTTTTCTACTATTTATTGCATTTTTTCAAAGATTTTTGCACTAAAAAAGCCAAAATAATTGCCAAATGGACACATGGCGTGATCTCAGCCCCTCACCTTTCACCCCTTGACAAGTGTGCGTCAGTCAACATGGCCACATCCTTACCTTTTACCCTAAATTATTATTTTATGACTTTTTCTTAGAAAATTCATAACTAAATACACAAAAATCACAATAATGTTCCGAAAATTGCTACGAGCTCATTGAGACTTCATCTTCCTCCTGAATTCCCTGTTTCATGGTTACGCTACATTAGTATTTTATTATTATTTATCCAAAATTATTTTTATTATTATTGTTATATTACTTTTAGCTTGTACATTTGTTAATTATATTTACTCCAAATTTTTAATTTTATTTTTATTTTCCGTGTGAATTGACCATTTCTGGTGCTAATCAGTTTCTCTCTTCTTCAATTTGTTAATGTTTTTTCTTTTTTAGGTTTAAGGGATGTTTTCAAACATAAAATGGAAATATACAAGCCATCCATTCTACAACATGAGGAAATAATTATTCAAAGTCTTTCACTGTTCAAGTTTTGCTTAGAAACGTGTAACCCAATCATTTGGGATATGCTAAGTGGGAAAATGTCTTTCCCAAAAACCGGTGAAAAGACACATACTCACTTCATGCATGCGTTTCCGTTTACCAAATATTAAGATTGCAGTTGTGCAAAATATATGTGTCAGTAAAATGTCATTCGTAGCCGTCAATTATGTCAGTAATAATTCCACTATATAACAAATATTATACATTTATATATAAAACGGTTTAGGACAGCACAAACACCAGACAAAATAGATTAAAACATGAAATAGAAAACAACATTTGTAGAAAATAGACACGCATAAAAACCGTAGAAACATACTACAACTAATTATAAGGGTATGGATTCCCTGGCACAACATAGACACGCATCACCTTGAACCAAAAAACACTCTCACGGTGCCATTTGCATCGATTGCAACAAGTCCAGAAGGCAGGATTGATCTTTTCTTCACTAGGCCCTGGAATAACAACACACCAGTCGTTGTTGTTACAAGCGCTGCACTGATTGAACTTAATCTTCCCATAGTGAAACATATCTACGATATGTCTTCCAACAGAGAAAATTCCGCTTAATCGTCGTCTCAAAGCATCCCTGGTTCCTTTCATATCAATGTTGTTACGTTGATTCAAAGAACACAAGAATTCCAATGCATCCTCTTTTGACTGACCAATTCGGACATGCCAAGTAGTCCAACTAGATATGACGCTTCCATATGGCCTGCCGTGGCTGCAAACGCGCATCCCAGACAAGGCTTCCACATTACCCTGCCTGAAAAACATGTCGAACGCTTCTCT